GGTTCTCGGCCGTGCACAGGTATTCCCCGGCGTCCTCAGGTGAGGCCGCGGGCAGCTCCAGCCTCACCTGGGGCTCGTACACGGCCGTGGCCACCACGCGGCGCCCGCGGGCCAACGTCACGATGGGGGCGGGGTGGCTGAGGGCGCCACAGGTGAGCGACACCTGCTCACCTGCCAGCACCCACAGCGTGCCGTTCAACACCGGGGGGCGGGGCGCGTCTGGGGGACAGGTGAGACATGGGCAGGTGAGACACAGGTGAGACACAGGTGAGACACAGGTGAGACACAGGTGAGATAAAGGTGAGTCACAGGTGAGTGACAGGTGAGATACAGGTGAGATACAAGTGAGATATAGGTGAGACACAGGTGAGATACAGGTGAGATAAAGGTGAGATATAGGTGAGATACAGGTGAGACACAGGTGAGATACAGGTGAGACACAGGTGAGATACAGGTGAGATAAAGGTGAGACACAGGTGAGATACAGGTGAGCCACAGGTGAGATACAGGTGAGACACAAGGGAGACACAGGTGAGATACAGGTGAGATAAAGGTGAGCCACAGGTGAGATACAGGTGAGACACAGGTGAGATACAGGTGAGACACAAGGGAGACACAGGTGATTCACATGTGAGTTACAGGTGGGACAGGTGTGCAGAAGGACTCAGGTGTGACCCAGGGGGATTTAAAGAGAGAAGCACCCAAAAAAGGGACCCAGGTGTGAGCCAGGTGAGATCCAGGTGTGAGCCAGGTGTAACTCAGGTGTCTGGAGGGACCCAAAAAAGGGACCCAGGTGCCCCTAGGTGTGCCCAGGTGTGAGCCAGGTGTGGCCAGGTGTATCCCAGGTATGCCCAGGTGTATCCCAGGTGTGCCCAGGTGTAGCTCAGGTATGCCCAGGTGTATCCCAGGTGTGCCCAGGTGTCTCTCAGATGTACCCAGGTGTGCCCAGGTGTATCTCAGGTGTACCCAGGTGTATCTCAGGTGTATCCCAGGTATGCCCAGGTGTATCTCAGGTGTGCCCAGGTGTATCTCAGGTGTGCCCAGGTGTGCCCAGGTGTGCCCAGGTGTATCTCAGGTGTACCCAGGTGTACCCAGGTGTGCCCAGGTGTGCCCAGGTGACTCACAGGCCACGTGCAGCTCCAGGCTCCGGTTGTGGCGGCCATGTCGGTTCTCGGCCACGCAGGTGTAGGTGCCGCTGTCCTGGGGGCTCACCTGGGCCAGGTGCAGCGGCAGCGAGGCCACGCCCGGCTCCTCCCGCAGCACCTGCGGCCCCCGGAACCAGGTGAGCAGCGGGGGGGGGAGACCCTCGGCCGAGCACCCAAAATCCACCTGGGAGCCCTCGAGGGCCTCGCTGGGACCCGACACCTCCAGCACCTGCGGCTCGTCTGGGGGGGGAGGGGACAGGTGAGTCACGGACCTGCCCAGGTGAGTCAGGGACCTGCACAGGTGAGTCAGGGAGAGCCCCAAACCTGCCCAGGTGAGTGAGGGACACCCCAAAAAACTGCCCAGGTGTGCCCAGGTGTACTCAGGTACCCCCCCAGGTGTGCCCAGGTGTACTCAGGTATTCCCCAGGTGTGCTCACACTGCCCCCAGGTGTACTCAGGTCCCCCCCAGCTGTGCCCAGGTGTACTCAGGTGTACTCAGGTGTCCCCCAGGTATGCCCAGGTGTATCTCAGGTGTGCCCACGTGTACTCAGGTATTCCCCAGGTGCCCCCAGGTGTATCCCAGGTGTGCCCAGGTGTACTCAAGTGCCCCCAGGTGTATCCGAGGTGTATCCCAGGTGCCCCCCAGGTGTGCCCAGGTGCGCTCACACTGCCCCAGGTGTACTCAGGTGCCCCCCAGGTGTGCCCAGGTGTATCCCAGGTGCGCTCACACTGCCCCAGATGTACTCAGGTCCCCCCCAGGTGTATCCCAGGTGCCCCCCAGGTGTGCCCAGGTGTATCCCAGGTGCGCTCACACTGCCCCAGGTGTACTCAGGTCCCCCCCAGGTGTACTCAGGTCCCCCCCAGGTGTGCCCAGGTGTACTCAGGTGCCCCCCAGGTGTGCCCAGGTGTGCCCAGGTGCGCTCACACTGCCCCAGGTGTATCCCAGGTGCCCCTCAGGTGTACTCAGGTGCCCCCCAGGTGTGCCCAGGTGTACTCAGGTCCCCCCCAGGTGTGCCCAGGTGTGCCCAGGTGCGCTCACACTGCACGTCGAGCTCGACGCCGGCGCGGAACTCCAGGGTGGAGTTGGGCAGGGTCACGTGACAGCCGAGGCGCCGCCCGCCGTCCTCGCGCCGGGGCCGGAAGCGGAGCCGGGACACGACGGAAGCGGCGCCGGCCTCGTCCTCGCGCCGCTCGCTCTCGGCAACTTCCGGCAGCTCTCGGGTCCCCTCCCAGCGCACGCGCGGCCGCTGCCGAGGGCACGAGTCCGGCACGCGACAGCGCAGCTCGGCCACGGAGCCCGCGACGAGCGGCGCCGGCACCTCCAGCTGCGGCTCGTCTGAGGAAAGAAAATAAAAATAAAGGTAAAATATCGGGCGTTTGGAGCGGAAAACGGGGCCAGGAGGTGCCGGAAATCGAGGTCTGCGTGGGACGAAAATCCCAGATTTTTATCTCAAAAAATGGCGTTTAAATATCCCAAAAATCCCAGATTTTGATCTCAGAAAATGAGCCCTGGATGTGCCAAAAATGGAGTTCTGGATGTGCCAAAAATCCCAGATTTTTATCTCAAAAAATGGCGTCAGGGTGTCCCAAAAATCCCAGATTTTGATCTCAAAAAATGGAACCCGGAAGTGCCAAAAATCCCGATTTTTATCCTAAAAAATGAGCTCTGGATGTGCCAAAAATGGAGTTCTGGATGTGCCAAAAATCCCAGATTTTTATCTCAAAAAATGGCGTTTAAATATACCAAAAATCCCAAATTTCGATCTCAAAAAACGGAACCCGGAAGTGCCAAAAATCCCGATTTTTATCCTAAAAAATGAGCTCTGGATGTGCCAAAAATGGAGTTCTGGATGTGCCAAAAATCCCAGATTTTTATCTCAAAAAATGGCGTTTAAATATACCAAAAATCCCAAATTTTGATCTCAGAAAATGGAACCCGGAAGTGCCAAAAATCCCGATTTTTATCCTAAAAAATGAGCTCTGGATGTGCCAAAAATGGAGTTCTGGATGTGCCAAAAATCCCAGATTTTTATCTCAAAAAATGGCGTCAGGGTGTCCCAAAAATCTCAGATTTTTATCCCAAAAAATGGAATCCGGAAGTTCCAAAAATCCCGATTTTTATCCTAAAAATGGGGTCAGGGTGTCCCAAAAATCGAGGTCTGCGTGTGACGAAAATCCCGGGGTTTTAACTCGAAAAATGAGGTCAGGAGGTGCCGAAAATCCCAATAATCGGGATAATCGGGAACAATCGGGGATAATCGGGAACAATCGGGGACAATCGGGGACCAATCGGGGATAATCGGGGACAATCGGGAACAATCGGGGATAATCGGGGACAATCGGGGGGAAATCGGGAAAAATCAGGAAAAAATCGGAAAAAATCGGGGAAAATTGGGAAAAATCGGAAAAAAATCGGAAAAAATCGGAAAAAAATCCTAAAAAATCGGAAATAAATGGGAAAAAATGGGAAAAAAATCGGAAAAAAATGGGAAAAAAATGGGAAAAAATCGGAAAAAATCGGAAAAAAATCGGAAAAAAATGCAAAAAAAATCGGAAAAAATATCGGAAAAAATCGGAAAAAATCGAAAAAAATCGGGAAAAATCGGAAAAAAA